CGCACGAGGGGCGTGGAGCAGGCCGTGTCCCCGAGGTGTGACGCACGGCTGTTGCAGACTATCCGGGAGGTCCAGCCTGACGTGGTGGTCGTGGAGCTCTGCCAGTACCGCGTGTCCATGCTGAAGATGGACGAGAGCACGCTGCTGCGGGAGGCCCAGGAGCTCAGCCTGGAGAAGCTGCAGCAGGCTGTGAGGCAGGTACGCCGCGAGGGCCGGGCTCGGGGTCAAAGCCACCTGTGTGCCTGGGTCCCTCCACAGCCCGTGCCCCCAGTTAGTGTGGCCGTGCCTGGCCTGCCCTGGGGCTTTGCCGGGTTGGGGACCTCCCCCAGGCCAGGGGAAAGGAATGAGGCTCCGGTACTGGGTTTCAGGCAAGGGAAGAGGAGATGCGTGGCTCTCCGAGCCCAGGCGGGGCCGGTCGCCTGGGGACGGGGTTGCTGAGCAATCGCTGAGATGGGGCGGGTCTCGGTGCAAGGCCGGCCTCCCAGGCCCAAAGTGGGGCTCAGAGCTCCTGTTCCCCTCCTCCAGTGCTGTGGTGACCTGAGAGGCAGGACTCTCTCATGTCTCTTTTGTTTTTTTCTGTTGAGACAGACTCTTGTTCTGTCGCCAAGCTGGAGTGCAGTGGCGTGATCTCAGCTGACTCCCAGGTTCAAGCCATTCTCCTGCCTCAGCTTCCCAATAGCTGGGACTGCAGGCGTGCGCCACCATGCCCAGTTAATTTTTGTATGTTTAGTAGAGACAGGGTTTTACCGTGTTGGCCAGGCTGGTCTCAAACACCTGACCTCGAGATTCACCAGCCTCAGCTTCCCAAAGTGGCGGGATTACAGGCATGAGCCACTGTGCCTGGTCAGTCTTTGTGTTTTCAGAGGGGACCCAGCACACCTGACCCCAGCTCTGGTCAGTTGCCTTCCCCCTTGATTAAAGGAAACCATTGTAATGAGATGTTGTAGAAATGCTCCCAAACATTTGGCGCCTGCTTTTCATTTTTTAGTTTCTCCAGGTAAGGGAAGTCACCAAAGACCTCTGTGAGCCGCCCTGCAGAGGGCAGTCCCCAGTCCAGCCGGGGCCCAGCGCCGGGCAGCCCCTCTGCAGAGCCTGGGGCCCAGGAATCTCAAAGGGGCACAGACGTTGGCAGGGCTGTGGTGCTCACTGCTGCGGCATCACAGAGGGAAGAGGGTGAGGGGCAGGGTCTGGCAGACATCAGGTGCCACTTCACCTGTCCCCTCTTGAGGGAGCCGGGGAGGCTCCCTGTGCCCCAGTGTCTGGGTTTCTACTGGGGTCAGTCACAAGCCTGGCCCAGCTCGGGCCCCAGCCCCTTCAGAGGTGGAGTTAGTCCCAGCAAACCAAGGCCCGGTGACCATCTCACCCTCAGCCTGGACTCTCCGGGGTAACACAGGCACTCCGTCAGGCGGGGCTCGCCCAGGGCTCAGGGCCAGGCCTTCCCTGGGCATGTGCAGGGTGCGAGCAGTCGTCCGGCGGTGCGTGGCCCCTGGACTTTGCTCCCCTTCCCAGGGAGGCATCTCCTTCACACGTGGACAGCCCCTTGGCCCCAGCCGGGCCTTAGGCTGTGGTTGCTGCGATGTGGGTGGCCTGGCATCTGCACCTGTGGTGGTGCTGTGCTGGCCCCAGCAGGCGGGTGTGCGTCGAGAGCCTGCCTGCCCAGCGCTGAGCGTCCGTGCCAGCTTGAGGCAGCCCCTTTCAGCCCTTTGACACTGCCTCATGAAGCCCGTTTCGGAAAGGAGCTACCTTTGAGAGGTGCCTGTTGGGCTAGAACTCCCTGCTTTGGTCTGATCTTCTGCTTGCTAGGGTGGTCCTGTGCCTGTCGGGGAGTGGGCCGAGGACACAGCAGTGGGGCTGGGGCGGGGCTCTGTGCTGGTGCCCCCTGCGCACCCCTGCCCCCTACCCAGCTGACACCCGTTCCCTCTCTCTGCAGAACGGGCTCATGTGCCCCCCACCCCCAGCACCCACTCCCTCTCTCTGCAGAACGGGCTTATCACCCCCCCACCCCCGCGCCTCTCTCCACAGAATGGGCTCATGTCGGGGCTTATGCAAATGCTGCTGCTGAAGGTGTCTGCACACATCACCGAGCAGCTGGGCATGGCTCCAGGTGGCGAGTTCAGGGAGGCCTTCAAGGAGGTGGGCACAGGGCAAGGTGGTGGGTGAGCACGGGGACGTGGCTCCCAGGGGTGGCTCTGGGCTCCCACTGCTTCCCAACGCACAGCCTCTGCTCCAGGCCAGCAAGGTGCCTTTCTGCAAGTTCCACCTGGGTGACCGGCCCATCCCTGTCACCTTCAAGAGGGCCATTGCTGCGCTTTCCTTCTGGCAGAAAGTCAGGCTGGCGTGGGGCCTGTGCTTCCTGTCAGACCCCATCAGGTAGGGTTGCCCCCGGGACCCCGGGTGGCCTGCAGGGTGGTTTGTGGGAGGCTCCAGGTCCTCCTGTGTGTGTCCAAGCGTGGCCACGCCTGCCCAGGCTGAGCCTCACTCATGGCCTGCCCTCCTACCCTTTCGCTTCCACCATGAATCCCAAACAAACATGCTGTGGTCCCTGCCTGGCACCCACGGTGCCAGCCCCCGCCGCTGCCCCGTCCCTGTGGGCTGCAGCCACCCCTCTCCACAGCAAGGATGACGTGGAGCGCTGCAAGCAGAAGGACCTGCTGGAGCAGATGATGGCCGAGATGGTCGGCGAGTTCCCTGACCTGCACCGCACCATCGTCTCCGAGCGCGATGTCTACCTGACCTACATGCTGCGCCAGGCTGCCCGGCGCCTCGAGCTGCCTCGGGCCTCTGACGGTGACGGCCGCCCGTGGGCACGGGGCCCCTGTGAGGCTGAGGCCTGAGCAGGTACTAAACCCTTGTCCCTCCCCACAGCTGAGCCCAGGAAGTGTGTCCCCTCCGTGGTTGTGGGCGTCGTGGGCATGGGGCACGTGCCTGGCATAGAGAAGAACTGGAGCACCGACCTCAACATCCAGGAGATCATGACGTAAGCACCCACCTCCCAAGGCCCAGCCCGCCCCAAGAGCCCACAGGTAGAGGCTGAGCCCCTGGGAGGCCAGCCATACGTGGCAGTGACCCAGGCGTGGGGGCTGGGGTGTGGGGAGCCCACACCCAGCCAGGCCCAGCGCCCCCTCCCTCCCCCAGCGTGCCCCCGCCGTCCATCTCCGGCAGAGTGTCTCGGCTGGCCGTGAAGGCCGCCTTCTTCGGCCTGCTGGGCTACAGCCTGTACTGGATGGGCCGCCGCACCGCCAGCCTGGTCCTGTCGCTGCCCGCCGCGCAGTACTGCCTGCAGAGGGTGACTGAAGCGCAGCACAAGTAGGAGCTGCTCCCACACGCTCAGGGGCCCCTGAGGAGCCAGTGCCCAGGGCACTTCCTGGATGCCAGGCGCATCCAAGCCCACCCGAGGCCCCTGCCACCCCCCATGGGGGTCTGGGCCGGGCCTCACCTGCCCTCCCGGACCCATTACCGCTCCCCCAGCCCACCCAAATAAAGAATTATTTAACTGTCTCAGCTCAGGCCTCCCGCAGCCCCTCCCCTCCAACACTGCAGGGGCCGTTCACCGGCTTCTGGACAAGACGCCCAGCTCCGGGGGGGGGGCAGGGGCTTGGAGAAGAGGCCCAGGTGTGTGCCCTCTCAGCCCTGGTGGCAGGCGGAGGACAATGGCCACTGTCCCTACCTCACTGTGCCTTCCTGTGCTCTGGCCATGGGAGCGTCCTGCCAGGGGCAGCTCCTGGGAGCTCCCTAGCAGGCGAGAACTGAGAAAGGCCTGGCCCTCGAGCTCCAGCCGACCCCACCATGCCATGCCGCTGGCATCCTGGGCCTGGCTGCCACCTCCCTGACGCCGTCTCCCAGCAGGGATTCTGTGTTTTTGGCTTTTTTAATGTTTCAAAATCTTTTACTCAGGTAATTTTAACTTCAAAGAGAAAAACTGAAGTAAATGTCAAAAAAACACCAGCCTTAAATCCGGGGGATAGAATTTGTGTTCTTGGGTCTGTCCCGAGTGGGCCTGTGTGCAGCCGAACATCAGCTCTGGGCCCAGGCAGGGCCTCAGCTGGGAGCCTGTGTCCTGAGCCCCCCGGAGTGAGGGGGTGCCCAGGGGCGTCCTGGCCCTCTGTGGACACTGTGTGTGCCTGGCTCCTGCCAGGCCTGCCCCCTCAGGCCTCCTGCCCGGTGGCCACCTGTGTGTGGGGAGTCCCTCCTGGTTGTGCTGGACGTAGCCCGTGCAGCCTCAGCCTGGACCCCGGCGATCTCTGATTGTGTCTGCTGACTCAATGTTGAATCAAATCAGGTGTGCGTAAGGAGCTGGCCGTGTCCTTCCTGCCACACTCGGGGATTCGTTCCATAGAAACTGAAATAAATTCTAATTTTGGAAACTCCTGTTTTGTGATGTGTGGAAATGGGGCTCAGGTAATGAATGACCGTAGTCTCTTCCCTGTGCTCCCGGGCAGCGGGTGCTGGCAGCCCTGCCGGGGCCCTGGGGGAACTTGCCTGGTTCCCAACAAAGGAGACAGGGCCACTGTCCCTCCATGCTGACCTGTGGGATGCAAGTGGCCTGACCCTCACGACCCTCCATACCCAGTCCCAGATTCCAGAGTGTGGATCGGACGGAGGCCAGGGGGCGAAAGGACGGGTCAGGAGGGCCCAGGGCCTGAGGGGTAACACCTGCCCGAGAGGACGCTCGGAACAGGCTGGGCAGAGTGCCTGGCGGGGGCTGCCGCAGAGGGAAAAGCTGGCCTGCAGGGCAGTGTCGGGCGCTGGGACCTCAGCACGTTGTGCCTTATCCACGTCACCCACCCACCCACGCGGAGGGTCCTGAGGGCTTCGCCAAGCTGTAGCCCCAGGAGAAGGTTCTGGAGGCAGCTCCCGGAAGGGAAGGGTGGACTCGCGGCGCTGCCGGCACAAAGGGAGACCACAGGCAGGCGAGGAGCGCGTCCGGGGTCTGCGGACACCGCCTCGCTGCCCTCTGGGGCCCGGTCGGGGAGGGGTGGAAAGCAGGACGGCCTCGGGCTCGTCTGAATCCCCGCGTTCATTCGGCCAAACGGAACCCAGACCCCTCCCCCGGGGTCGGGCCCCTCCAGCCAGCCCCGGACGCCGGCGCCCGCCCAGCCCTCTGCGAGCGTCTGCGCCTGCGGCCTCGCGGGGCCCCTCCGAGCCCCGGCTCGGTTCCGGGGGCGGTGCCGGGTCCAAGACCCCTTCCCTCCTAGACAACGAGAGGGGTCCGAGGGCCGGGAGGCCAGGGGAGCAGGTCCCCGAGAGGCGGCGCGAGGCTCCGGGAGGCCCAGAGCCGCGGCGGGGGCCGGGTGGGGTCCCGGTGGGGTCCCAGCCGCCTGTGAGGCGCGGCGAACGGACTGCCCGCTCCGGTGCAGCCGAGGAAATCCAGGGCTGCCCGAGCGGGGCCGCCGGCGGCGGTGGCGGGGACGTCACCCAGTGTCACCCCGCTGGCGGCAGCGCGCGCCCCAAGACGCCGGCTGCCACCCCGACGCCCCCGGCTCTCTGGACCCGAGATGCGAACAGACGGACGAGGCAACCAATCAGTGCCCGGTACGACACCGCCCCGCCCCCTCCCCCTGGCGACTGGGTTCCGGAGCACGCGGGGCGGGGCTTCCGGGCGGGGAAGGCCGGCTTCCGGTGGGAGCGGCACTGCGGATGGCCGCGCGCAGGGTCGCGGTCTGCGCCTCGCTCGCTGCTGCCCGACCCCTGCCCCTCGGCGGCCGCCGCCGCCTGTCGCCCGTGCCCCGCTCTGCGTTGTCGGGCGCCGCCATGGAGCCTGCGCCGCGCTGGCTGGCGGGACTGCGCTTCGACAACCGCGCTCTGCGCGCGCTGCCGGTGGAGACGCCGCCTGCCGGTCCCGAGGGCGCCTCGACCACGCCGCGGCTCGTGCCCGGGGCCTGCTTCACCCGCGTGCGGCCCACCCCGCTGCGGCAGCCCCGCCTCGTGGCGCTGTCGGAGCCCGCTCTGGCGCTGCTGGGCCTGGGGGCGCCGCCCGCGCCCGAGGCCGAGGCCGAGGCCGCGTTGTTCTTCAGCGGCAACGCGCTCCTGCCGGGCGCCGAGCCCGCCGCGCACTGCTACTGCGGCCACCAGTTCGGCCAGTTCGCCGGGCAGCTGGGCGACGGCGCCGCCATGTACCTAGGCGAGGTGTGCACGGCGGCCGGCGAGCGCTGGGAGCTGCAGCTCAAGGGCGCCGGGCCCACGCCCTTCTCCAGGTGGGCCAGGGCGGGCGAGGGGCGCGGGTGGGTCCTCCCCGCCGGGGCGCCCCTGCGCCTCCGCTCGGCGCGGTGTTGGGGGCGTCCTGCGGCCTCTGCCAGGTGGGGCCTGTCCTCCATCCGCGGGAACGCGGTGCTGGCAGCCGCCCGCGCCCTGTGCTTATCAGTCTGCAGAGGACCTTGGAGTCGGCTCCACCAGTGACGCCGCTCGTGTTTACCGACCTTCGCTGGGGCAACAAGCCCAGGGGCGGGAGCCGGGGTGAGGGGTTAGGCTAACCCTAACCCCGCAGGCCCCCAGCCTTCCTCCCATCGCTCATGGGGCGGGCCGCTTGGTCCAGCAGCCTCGCTCTGCAGCTGACTTCACAGAAACCTTGTCCTGACTCCCTGCGGGCAGCCCTCTTTGACCCCGAAGTGAGGTGGGCATCGTTTCGATTCCTGGGGCGGGGGGGACACAGGTGGTCCAAGGCAAGACCTGGGTCCAGATGCTGCCGAGGCCCACAGGGGAGCCATGCACTCGCCACCTGCCTCCTGTGTACAGACAGCGGTCCATTCTGCTCTTTTCCACTAGACAGTTAATGAACTTACTCCATGTTTTTTACTGCTTATGGAATGACTGAGAAAAGAATATCCACAAGTGTATATTTTATGTTCAGAGAAATGCTAAATCCGCCTCTCATCGGACTCCTCCCTGTGCTCTCATCTCCTCCCTATCCAGCGCCTGAAATGCCCCTCAGCATCCCTTTCCCAGGGCTCCGTCTCCCCGGCAAGCTCTTCAGACTGACAGGGGTCTTCCTCACCACCCCCCAAACCCATTCGGTTCTGTGTCTGAAAAGTTGGCTGAGGGCAGCTGGGGTCCCTGGCCTCACCAGTGTCTGAGATTGAGGCTAGTGTCTGAAGTGGCCGTGAGAAGTAAGAAACTTGTACAGTGAAAAAATTAGTAAAGAAGACATAAATAAGTGGAAACATCCCTTGTGCATGGGTTGGATAACTTATTAGAAAGACAACTCCTGGCCAGGCGCGGTGGCTCACACCTGTAATCCCAGCACTTTGGGAGGCTGAGGCAGATGGATCATATAAGGTCCGGAGTTCGAGACCAGCCTGATCAATATGGACAAACCCCATCTCTACTAAAAATACAAAATTAGCCGGCGTGGTGGTGCATGCCTGTAATCCCAGCTACTCGGGAGCCTGAGGCAGGAGAATTGCTTGAACCTGGGAGCTGAAGGTTGCAGTGACCAAAGATTGTGCCATTGCACTCCAGCCTGGACAACGAGAGCGAAACTCCATCTCAAAAAAAAAAAAAAAAAAGCTCTTTGAAGGGATTGTTGCAGTCCCTATCAAAATACCAGTGACAGTTTTTGCAAAAATAGAAGAACCCATTCTAAAATTGACATGGGGTCAGGTGTGGTGGCTCATTCCTATAATCCCAGCACTGGGAGACCAAGGGAGGAGGATTGCTTGAAGCCAGGAGTTGGAGACCATCTTGGGAAACAGCAAGACCATGTATCTTCAAAAAAGTTTTTTTAATTAGCTGGGTAAGGTGGCATGTGCTTGTAATGTTCAGCTACTCAGGAGGCTGAGGTGGAAGAATTGCTTGAGCCCAGGACTCAAGGCTGCAGTGAACTGTGATTGTCTCACTGCACTCCAGCCTAGATGACAAGAGTGAGACCCTTTTTCGAAAGGTAATACAAAGAAAGCTGGACTCATGCTTCCTGATTTCAAAACTTAATCACAAAGCTGCAGTCAGCAATGTGGCATTGGCATAAGGATAGATGTAGAGCAGAATAAAGAGCCTAGAAATCAACCTTCATATATGTGGTCAGCAGATTTTTAGCAAGTGTGCTGAGACCATTGGATGGAGAACAGACGTTTCAACAAAGGGTGCTGTGAAGACTGGATCCTCATGCAGAGGAATGAAGCTGGGTCCTTAACTACACCTTGAACAAAGTTAACTGAAAAGTGGACCTAAGAGCTAAAACTCTTAGAGGAAATAGGGGAAATGCTTCATGACGTTGGATTTGGCAGTGATTTCTTGGCTATGCCACAAAAGGCACTGGTGACCGAAGGAGAGATGGCCAAACAGGACTTCATGAACACTTAAAATTGTGCACAAAAGACGGTATTAACAGGGTAAAAATGCAGCCCACAGAATGGGAGGAAATATTTGCAATTCATACATCTGATAAGGGATTAATATCCAGCTCATACAGAGAACTCTCAACACTCAGGAAAAAAAACAATTCAAAAATGGACAAGTATTTGAATAGACATCTTCAAAGATTTGGCTAATAAGCACATGAAAAGTTTTATAGCACGTGAAAAGATGCTCAACATTAATCATTAGGAAAATGCAAATCAAAACTACAGTGGGATGCCACCTCATATCCATTAGGATGGCAACTATTAAAAAAAATTTTTAAAGGTTGGTCAGGCACAGTGGCTCATGCCTATAATCCCAACACTTTGGGAGGCTGAGGTGGGTAGATCACTTGAGGTCAGGAGTTTGAGACCAGCCTGGCCAACATGGTGAAACCCCATCTCTGAAAAATACAAAAATTAGCTGGGTATGGCATGCCTGTAATGCCAGCTGCCTGGGAGGCTGAGGCAGAAGAACTGCTTGAACCCAAGAGGTGGAGTTTGCAGTGAGCCATTATCACCCCACTGTACCTCAGCCTGAATGACAGAGTGAAAAAGACCCTGTTTCAAAAAAAAAATTGTAAGTTAAAAAGTGTTGCGGTGTGGAGAAGTTGGAACCCTGTGCACTGCTGGTGGGAATGTAAAACGGTGCAGTTGCTGTGGAAAACAGGATGGAAGTTCCTCAATTAAAAATAGAGTCACCGTATCCTGCTTCTGGGTATGTCCCTAAGAGCAGGATCTCAAGGAGATATTTGTATATCCATATTCATAGGCAAAAGGCAGAACAGGTGTCTTAGCAGACGAGTGGATGAAATGTAATCTGTACATACAGTGGGAAACTATTCAGCCTTAGAAGACTGTGACACATGGTGCAGCTCCCGTGACCCCTGAGGGAAATCAGCCAGTCACAGCAAGGCAGATCCTGTGTGGTTCCACCTACATGAGGTACTTAGCACAGTCGCATTCACAGAGACACGGTAGAGTGCTGGGTGCCAGGGGCCGGAGGGAGTCGAGGGACAGAGTTTCATTTCACAAGATGTCTTTCTGCCCATGGATGGTGGTGGTGATTGTGCAACATTATCAGTGTGTTTAATAGCACTGATCTGTGCACTTAAAAATGGCTAAGATGGGCCAGGCACTGCGGGTCGTGCCTGTAATCCTAGCACTTTGGGAGGCCAAGGTGAGAGGATTGCTTGAGCCCAGGAGTTTTAAGACTAGCCTGGGCAACATAATGAAACTCCATCTTTACAAAAAAGAAAGGTAAGAATTCGTCTTAGAATTAGCCTGTAGTCCCAGCTACTTGGCGGCTGAGGTGACAGGGTGGCTTGAACGTCCCGGTGAGCCAGGTTCGTGCCACTGCACTCCAGGCCTTTGGACAGAGTGAGACCCTGTCTTGAAGAAAAAAAAAAAAGGTGGTTTAAGACAGAATATTTGTATTCTATGTATTTTTCCACAATGAAAATAATGAAGAAAAAAGGGGGCAGTCATCTGGCCCTCAGGTCTCGCATCCCCTTCCCCGCACGTGTCCTAGAGTGCCGGGCCTCAACAGTTCTGCAGGACTTGAGGCCGAGGCCAGGAACCTACAATGTGGGGTAGGGAAGGGATGTGAGATCTGGGGGTCCAAAGTGGCTGTGAGTGGCCTGAGCCCAGCATGCTGGAGCCCCAAGGTGGGGTTCTGCAGGCTGGCAGGTGGTGTGGGAGCTTCGGGATAACCTCTCCAGCAGACAGAGGAGCTGATTCCCTGGCTCGCCCGTACCTGGGCATCCGTCCTGGTGCAGACAGAGGCTGTTGTTGGACCTGTCCCATGGGGCAAGGCTGCCCCAGGCCCTTCGCCCCTGCAGCACAGTCTTACAGTCCCAGCTTCTGCTGTGGAACCTCGTCCTAGGCAGGAGAGGCTGCTTCGTGTGTTCAGGCCCATTTTTATCAGAGGCTGTGCCAACGACCCGCTGGGTGTGTGGTGGCTGGAACTGGGCGGTGTCCCCTGGGATGGGCTGTTTTCAGTGACATGCCAGCTGCTCATGGCTCTTACATGCTTTCCCTCCTCTCTGTGTGCTGCCCTGAGTCTTGGTGTTGGGTGACTTCTGCCTGCCTGCGTAGTGAACTCTGTGTTTGGTTTCAGACAGGCCGACGGTCGCAAGGTCCTACGGTCAAGCATTCGGGAGTTCCTGTGCAGCGAAGCCATGTTCCACCTGGGGGTCCCCACCACACGGGCTGGTGCCTGCGTCACGTCTGAGTCCACGGTGGCGCGTGATGTGTTTTATGATGGTAATCCCAAATATGAAAAATGCACAGTTGTGTTGCGTATAGCTTCCACTTTCATAAGGTAATGCCGGGGTCCTTTAGGCTTGTCTATACGCACTTGCTTATAGAGTCTTAGGAGATTTGGGCCTGTGCTGCTAGGATTCTGGTAGAAACAGACAAACCCAGATGACCGCCGTGCCTCTTCTCAGAGTCCAGCCCGTCCCCGGCAGCCTCAGAAGCTGCCTGTCCGCAAAGCAGCTGTGTCACACTCACTGGCCAGGATTTGAACACAAAGGCACTCAGTCCTGGGTTGGCACACCTGTGCCAAGCCCTCCCACGTGCCAGTCCGGGCTCTTGCTGCAGCCAGAGACGGCCCTGTGGGAGCTCGCGTGCCTCGGAGCACCAGCAAGGGGGTACAGGGCCACGGGCAGAGAGAGGGGTCCCTGCCTGGTGCTTCCCGGGATGGGCTGCCTGAGGTCGGGGACAGTGTCCAGAGCTGTTTGCTGGAGTTTATGGCGAGGAACTCCTTAGACCTGACTGAGGAAATGGCTGCTAAAGCAGCAGGAGCTGCGAGCGTGCTGTGCCCGGTGTCACGCTCCTGCTTTCTCATCTGATGGTCCAGCTGCTCGTTGGTCTGCCGTCCTTTTGAGCTGTCTGACGTGAGCCATCAGTTATCAGTTTTCATTTTGTTTTGTTTTGGAGATCGACCATCAATCTGTTGCCCAGGCTGTAGTACAGTGGTGCAATCTAGGCTCACTGCAACCTCCACCTCCTGGGCTCAAGAATTCTCCTGCCTCAGCCTCCTGAGTAGCTGGGACTACAGATATGCACCACCACACCCAGCTAATTTTTGTGTTTTTAGTAGAGATGGCGTTTCTCTATGTTCGCAAGCTGGTGTCAAACTCCTGACCTCAGGTGATCGCCCGTCTCGGCCTCCCAGAGTGCAGGGATGACAGGCCCACCCGTCAGGTTTCCATGTCACCTTGCCACCTGGCATCCAGCATCTCCTCCTGAACGCCTGAATATAGAGTGGTCCCGAGGTGGCCTTTGGGCTTGTGGCCCCATCCAGCCGCCCACACCTGAGGCTGCCTTTGGGCCTCTGGCCTTTCCTGTCCTCTGGAGGGATGGGAAGGATCTGGGGCAGCGACTTCCTCCGAGGCCCCGTCCAGCAGCTCTGCAGGCATCACTGTGGAGTCCATCCTGTGTGCCGTGCAGCCTCTCTGCCCTGGGCCCCGTGGTTGCCAACAGTAACCCCAGTTGTGACAGTAAAAGATGTGTCCAGACATTGCCTGATGTCCCCTGGGGAACCGTCACCCTGCAGGACAGCCACTGCTGAGTGCTCACAGATGTGCGTCTGTAGAAGCTGACTCTCCTTTGCATTCCCTCCCCAAGGACACAGTGGCAGGCCAAGCCCCCTCCATGTGTAAAACCTGCAGAAAACCCTCCTCATGGGGTTGGGGTGGGGGTGTAGGGAGCCTTGGTGGTTTCTAGCGCATGGGCCTCCCCAGCATGTGCCCCAGACTGCGAACAGGGCTTGTTCAGTGGCTGGACGTTGACCAAAAGTGGAACTTAAACGTATTTGTGTTGGGTGAAGCCGGGTGCGTCTTGGGTGGTGGTTTTTGTTTTAATCAGGGTTCTCTCTCTGCGTTAGAGCTACAAGATCGAACAGCCACAACAACGTCTTTCTTTTTTCTTATTCTCGCAAGGGGCTGGGGTCAGGTTTGACCTGTTGACAACTTGGGTCTTCCCTCCAGGTTTGGATCCTTTGAGATTTTTAAGTCCGCAGATGAGCACACGGGGCGCGCAGGCCCCAGCGTGGGGAGGAACGACATTCGCGTGCAGCTGCTCGACTACGTCATCAGCTCCTTCTACCCCGAGATCCAGGCTGCTCACGCCAGCGACAACGTGCAGAGAAATGCCGCCTTCTTCCGGGAGGTCAGTGGGCTGCACACCATCCCCCCTGCAGGAGGGTGCTGGGTGTCCCCACCTGTGCTGAAGACACCCTCATTTTGGCCGGGACAAAGGCTTTTGCCCAGCCTCCCACCCTTCTCCAAGCTCCCCGTCGTGTCCACAAACCCCATGCCTTGCGCCAGCTTCTCACAAATACTGTGTGATCGGGCCCTGGGACAAACCTGAGGCTCCCCTGTGCTTAGTGGCGTTGGGGGCCTGGGGGTGCTCTCCTGCTGGAGTCCTTGCAGGGCCAGCTCGGGGGGTGGGGGTGAGGAGGAGCTGGCTTGGGCGGAAGCACCTATGGATACTGGGTACCTCCCATGTGGGTCGACATGTCACAATGCCCAGAGCAGCCGACCAGGTCCTGACTGGGGAGGTGCTGAGCGCCCAGCTTGGGTCTGGGTCCCTGCCTCACAGACAGCACATACGTCCCACACGGTCTGATGGTGTCGTCCTTGTCACAGGGCATTCAGGGCACAGTAGGGAGACCCAGCGCCTGGCCTGGCTGGGCTGGGGGCCTGCAGCATCAGTGGGGTTAGGCCAAGAGGGGGTTCAGGAGGCCCAGGCACAGCATCTTCTTTGAGAGGCCTCAGGCCATCCCTGGAGCACCTGTGTGGGGACCCGCTTTTGCACGTGGCTGGGAGCTATTGAGCTGCCATCAGCAGAAGTGGGCGCCAGACAGGTGCTGTGGGGCTGTGTCCTTCAGTCCACCTCAGCTGTGCTCCATGTGGACGGGCAGCGGGGCCACAGAAGACCGGGAGGAGCCACTGGGCGCAGCCTTATGCTCTGGTGTAGATGTGGGTGTGTGGTCAGGGCAAGACACTCTGCCCCTTTGAGCCTCAAGGGGACGGCGCCGACCGCCTCCCAGGAGCATCGGCGGCCTTGCCAGGAGTGAGGCGGTGTCGGGCCTGTGCTCAGTGGGGCCCTCGGTGCACCCTGCATCTTGGGGGCTCCTGGCCTCCCTGTTGATTGGCCCCTATTCTCAAGGTTGCCAGTGCTGGGCTAGGTGGGAACTGCTGTCTGGTTGATGGCACTGGAGTGGACAGTGGCCTGGCCCTGGGGCAGGTGTGGCCCCGGAGTGAGCTGGACCTTCCCTGCTTCTTTGGGGTCCCTACTGGGCCTGAGTCTGGGTTCCCTGAATTTTCTAGTTTGGGTAAAAGCCAACTTTTGTGAGCATATGAAAGAGTGGTTGCTGTAAGTGGGGATGAGGATCCTCCAACACACTGTTAATCGCTGCCCTGTGGTTGAAGCGATGACAGAGGTCATCCAGACAGATTGCCCGGAAATACCAGAGCGAGAGCCTCTCAGCGAAGCACAGCTGGTTTCGGAAGCGGAAGGACAGATACAAGTTGGGGGGGTCTGGGGAGGACCCCGAGGGAGCAAGCACACTGTCCCGCCCCAGGTGACACGGCGCACGGCGCGGATGGTGGCCGAGTGGCAGTGCGTGGGCTTCTGCCACGGCGTGCTTAACACCGACAACATGAGCATCCTGGGGCTGACCATCGACTATGGGCCCTTCGGCTTCCTGGACAGGTGAGCAGCCCCGGGGCCCAGCGGAGTGCAGGCTGTGTGAAACCTGCTGCCCCGGGCACTGGCCTGTGGTGCGGGAGGGGGAGCCCACGGGGCTGGTGGCTGATACAGGAAGGAGAGAGTCAGGGCAATGCAGAGACCCTAGCCAGAGGCTGTAGAGACAGGACCCCTGTGGGACAGGGCAGGAGAGCCACGGCCACACAGGAACTTCTTTTGGGCCTCCCCTCCAGGGAGGCTGTGCCATCTCCTGGGAGCGTCCCCTCAGGCAGGGCGTGGCTCTCTTGCCCCGTGTGGCAGGTACGACCCCGACCACGTGTGCAATGCCTCAGACAACACCGGCCGCTACACGTACAGCAAGCAGCCCGAGGTGTGCAAGTGGAACCTGCGGAAGCTGGCTGAGGCGCTGCAGCCGGAGCTGCCCCTGGAGCTGGGCGAGGCCATCCTGGCCGAGGAGTTTGACGCCGAGTTCCAAAGGCACTACCTGCAGAAGATGCGAAGGAAACTGGGCCTCGTGCGGGTGGAGCTGGAGGAAGACGGGGTGCTGGTGTCCAAGCTCCTGCAGACCATGCACCTGACTGGTGAGTGACCAGCCGTGCCCACAGCAGGCGTTTCCGGTTCCGTTGTTAGCAATGGTTTACCTTTCCAGCCATTTCCAGGTGGACACTCACTCCTGTGCCCATCCCAGCCCCTGGCACACCCATTCTACTCTGTCTCCATGAATTTGGTGAATCTAGGGACCTCCCGTGAGTGGATTCATAACAGTGTCCTTTCGTGACTGCTCATTTCACGTAGCATAAGGGCCTCAGTGTTCATCCTGGTCTCTCAGGATTTTACTCCATTTGAAGGCTGAGAAGCATCCCGTTGCATGGACAGGCCAGCTTGCTTCTCCGTGACCTTCTGGCCTACACTGTCCTCTCCTGGCTGTTGTGTACAGCGTGTTGTGTACTGTGTGCAGTGCTGCTGTGAACACCAGTGCAGAGGTCCCCAAGTCCCTGCTTTCAGGTCTTGGGGCACACGGTAGGATTGCAGGATCATGTGAGTGACTCACTGGATTGCACTAGCTAGGACTTGCAGCTATGCATGCTGAATGGAAGTAGCTGACATGGGCATCCTTTTCTTGTTCCTGACCTTTGGGGGGGAAGTGTTCAGGGTTTCACCCGTTGAGTGTGGTGTTAGCTGTGGCCTTTTTTATATAGAACTTTTATGATGCTGAAGTTTTTAGAGTGCTTTTACCATAAAAGCCTATTGTATTTTATCAGTGCTTTTTCCTGCAATGAAACTGGTCATGTTGTTTCATTGTTTCATTCATATCTCCTTGCATTCTGGGGATACATTTTAGTTGGTCCTTCTAATACGCTGTATAATTTTTTTTTTTTATTTTTGAGATGGAGTTTCACTCTCATTGCCCAGGCTGGAGTGCAGTGACGCGATCTTGGTTCACTGCAACCTCCACCTCCCAGGTCCAAGCGATTCTCCTGCCTCAGCCTCCCGAGTTGCTGGGATTACAGGCGCCCAACACCACACCTGGCTAATTTTTATATTTTTAGTAAAGACGGGAGTTTCTCCATGTTGGTCAGGCTGATTTCAAACTCCTGACCACAGGTTATTCGCCTGCCTCTCAGCCTCCCAAAGTGCTGGGATTACAGGCATGAGCCACTGCGCCCGGCCATATGCTGTATAATTATTTTAATATGCTGAATTTTGCTAATATATTGAGGATGTTTGCATCTGTATTTGTAAGGGATAGTGGCTCATAGTTTTGCTTTGTTTTTTCTTTGGTGTTTGTTTGGCTTTGATGTCAAGGCAGTGCTGGCCTCATAGAGTGAGCTAGGAGGTATTCCCACATCTTCCATTTTTTTCTTCAAAGTTTGAGAAGGATTGCTATTACTTCTTAAAATGTTCGATAGAATTCACCAGTGAAGCCACCTGGTCCTGAACTTTTCTTTGTTGGAAAATGTTTTATTACTGCTCAATCTCCTTGCTTCTCTTAGATCAATTTAGGTTTTCTGTTGTTCTTGAGTCAGTTTTGGTAATTTGTGTTTCTAGGAATTTTTCTGCCCTGTGGGTTATCCATGTCATGTAGGCAATTTTGGCGTGTAATTCTTCAGAGCAGGTTTTTAAAAATGATTTTATTGTGGTAAGAGATAGATCCTCCTAGCTGTCTGAGAGCACAGGAAGTGTGCAGCATGTGAGTGCTGACACAGGAGCAGTGCTGGACAGCAGAGCCTGGAGCCTGTTCACGTCACCACCAGAACCCCGTGCGTGTCGGTCACCAGCTCCCCACTCCCTCCCTGCAGCCCTGGTAGCCGCACTCCACTTCGAGTCTGGGAATCTGCGTACTTAAATCCTTCATGTAGGTGGAGTATGCAGTATCTGTCCTCTGTTTCTTCAGCCTATTCCATTTTTCATCTTTCTCCCTCTAATCATATTTCCCTCCCTGCTGCCAACTTCGGTCTTGGCTGTTTTTTCTCCACTTCCTTAGGCGTGAGGTGAGGTTACTGATTGGAGATCTTTTTCTTCAGTGTAGCCATTTACAGCTGTGTTTGTTCTTCTGGTCATTGCTTCTGCGGTATCCATCAATTTTGATATGTTGTGTTTTGGGTTTATTTTTTGGTTTTGAGACAGAGCCTCGATCTGTCACCCAAGCTGGAATACAGTGGCTCGATCTTGGCTCACTGCACCCTCTGCCTCCTGGGCACGGTCACGGCTCACTGCACCCTGACCCTCCTGGGCACGGGCACGGCTCACTGCACCCTGAGCCTCCTGGGCACGGGCACGGCTCACTGCACCCTGAGCCTCCTGGGCACGGGCACGGCTCACTGCACCCTCCGCCTCCTGGGCTCTAGTGATCCTCCCACCTCAACCTCCCAAGTAGCTGGGATTGCAGGGGTGAGCTACCTTTACCGGCCCTTGTGACAGTTTTTTATTTAAAATCTTATCTGGCTGGGCACGGTGACTCATGCCTGTAATTCCAGCACTTTGGGAGGCTGAGGTGGGCGGATCACCTGAGGTCAGGAGTTCGAGACCGGCCTAGCCAATATGGTGAAATCCCATCTCTACTACAAATACAAAAATTAGCTGGGCATGGCAGTGGTGGCACCTGTAATCCCAGCCTCTTGGGAGGCTGAGGCAGGAGAATCGCTGGAACCCGGGAGTTGGAGGTTGCAGTGAGCCAAGATCATACCACTGCACTCCAGCCTGGGCGGCAGAGCAAGACTATGTCTCAAAAAAGAAAAGAAAACCTACCTGATGTGAGTGTAGCCGCCTCGCCTCTCTTCAGGTCACTCTCTGCCTGGGTTTCTTCACCCTTTCACTTCCAGCCTGTTCGTGACTCTGAACGTCCTGCAGATCGTGTAGACAGCATGGAAATGGTCTTCCCACCCATTTTGTCTGCCTGCTCCTTGTTGGAGGGTTACTACCGATCAGGAACAACTTCCGCCATGTTTTTGGTCCCTTGCACCCCCATCGCCGCCTCCCTCGTGTGTGCTGGACTCTGTCACAGTACACTGCTTTGAGTCCCGTCTCATTTTCTGTTGTGTTTTTAGATGTTGTCCTAGGGGTTACCGTGGTTACACATGACAGTGTTTCCCTGATCAGGGAGGATCTGTCTTTCACATGTTGGGTCTTCTGCAGGTGGGTTACAGCGGCTTCTCAACACTCAGTAGCTCCCAAAGCAGGTAGTCGTGACTGTGATGATGTGACACCAGCAGCAGCCCCCATGCCTTCCCAGTATTAGCTCACGTTACAAGGTGGCTTGCAGGGTCAGAGTGGCAGCCTTCCTGGGCAGTGGATGGGTAGAGGCTGAGGAGTGGGCTGTGGAGGGCTCAGGAGTCCCAGGATCCAATGCTGAGCAGGGCTCATGCAGCACCTGTGCCCAGAGGCAGTGTGTCTGTGTGGCACCTGTGCCGGGGTCGGGAGGAGGGTGTGTCTGCGGCACCTGTGCCAGGGGCAGTGTGTCTGTGTGGCACCTGTGCCCAGGGGATGTGGGGGGAGGAGGGCGGGTCTGTGTGGCACCTGTGCCAGTGTGTGGGTCCGAGTGACACCAGGATGAGGACCCTGGGCCTTCTGCTTCCGGCTCTCTGAGCAGCCTGTGTTCCAGGTGCTGACTTCACAAACACCTTCTACTTGCTGAGCTCCTTCCTGGTGGATCCGGAGTCACCGGGCCTGGCGGAGTTCCTGGCCAGGCTGATGGAGCAGTGTGCTTCCCTGGAGGAGCTGAGGCAAGCCTTCCGGCCCCAGATGGATCCCCGGTGGGTACCTGGTTCCTACCTCCTTGGATTTGTTTCCAGAAAGGGAAACACAATCAGAAACAGGGCCGGAGGGGAAGCTGAAGGCAGAGCTGGCTGGAGCCCAGGTGGCAGCTCTGCTCCCAGGGCAGTCAGGGTCTCTGAGGTGCTGGGGCCCATTGGTCACAGAGGAGAGGGTGACGATGCCAACACAGGCGTGGGGGGAAGACAGTGGTCTATGCTGTGGGTGAGCGTCAGAGAAACCCTCTGACTTGCCAGAGAGGACAGGTTCAGAGGCCAGCCTTTCGAAACCGCACCATCTTCCAAAGGGAAGTCCTGCCCAAGAAGTGTTGCTTTTTTTTTTTGAGGAGTTGCACTCGTTTCCCAGGCTGGAGCGCAATGGCACTATCTTGGCTCACTGCAACCTCTGCCTCTGGGTTCAATCAGTTCTCCTGCCTCAAGTAGCTAGGATTACAGGCATTCGCCACCATGCCCAGCTAATTTTATATTTGTAGTAGAAATGGGATTTCTCCATGTTGGTCAGGCTGTTCTTGAACTTCTGACCACAGGTCATCTGCCTGCCTTGACTTCCCAAAGTGCTGGGATTACAGGCATGAGCCACCACACCGGCTGTTGCTTTTAACTTAAAAGACAAGACTAGTGGGGCTGGCTGGGAGCACTGGCCAGCAGGCCCTGCTGACATGAAGCCCCCTGTCCATCTGGACCCTTCTGGAAATAAGGGGAGTGCTAATAGCAGTGCCTGTCCCACAAGCATTGAACTCTGGAGGCAGAGACTCTCCAGCAGGAAGCTGGGCAGCAGAGCATGGGCGTGGCTGGTGTGTGCCCACCCGGGTCCATCCTTGCCAGTGGGACTGAAGGGTGGGGCGGAAGGAACACCTGCCTACAGGGCAGGACAAGTCGGGGGTTGCCTCTGCAGGCAGCTGTCCATGATGTTGATGCTGGCACAGTCAAACCCGCAGCTGTTCGCGCTCATGGGCACCCGGGCAGGCATCGCCAGGGAGCTGGAGCGCGTGGAGCAGCAGTCTCAGCTGGAACAGCTGAGCGCGGCCGAGCTGCAGAGCAGGAACCAGGACCACTGGGCCACCTGGCTCCAGGCGTACAGGTGAGCTCTGCGTCCGCGGTCATGCTGGGAAGGTCCAGCCCGGCTGTGATTCTAGAGCCCGGATATAATTCCAGAGCCCGGCTGGACAAGGACCTGGAGGGCGCCGGAGATGCCGCTGCCTGGCAGGCCGAGCGTGTGCGTGTGATGCGCGCCAGCAACCCCAAGTATGTGCTGAGGAACTACATGGCGCAGAACGCCATCGAGGCTGCCGAGCGCGGGGACTTCTCAGAGGCAAGCACATGCCTAACCCTGTGGTCCGCGGGAGGAGGGCATGGCTTCGACTCCTCTCACCCTCACACTCCTCCAGGTTCAGCGGGTACTGAAGCTACTGGAGACCCCTTACCACTGCGAGGCAGGGGCTGCCACAGAGCCCGAGGCCACGGAGCCGACTGGCGGGCAGCGTTCCTACAGCAGCAAGCCTCCGCTCTGGGCAGCAGAACTGTGTGTGACGTGATCATCGTAATGGCCTCGGCATGCTCCACACCCTTGGAGTTTCCCGAGGCCCCCGTGTGTTGCTGAGTGGCCAAGACGGTGCCGGGCCATGCCCTCTGTGCTGGGGACTTCTGCCTTGGCCCACGCACACCAGTCTTTCCATGAAGGCAGAGACATCCAGTCAGGACCTGACCTGTCTCTGTCTGACGCTGGCTCAGCAGGACAGCTCCGCCACCCACCTGGCCCCTGGGGGCTGGACCCAGGCTGCTAAATAAACCAGCATCTCCCTCAGGCCCGTCTCCGTGGTCATTCCCCCCGCCCTGTCCTCAGCCCCCGCCTGGGAGAGAGGGACACAGACAGGGTCTGAGGACACCTTTTTATTGTGCATGTCCCCCGCAGAGCAGCCTCAGGCATCCTGGTAGTAGTTGTTGAAGTTGATGCGCAGCAGGAAGTCCTCCAGGTGAGGCTGGTAGCCGCGGTTCACCAGCTTGGTCACCACTGGGGATCAGCAAGCCACTCAAGCCTCTGCCCACGGTGTGAACCCCGCCTTGCCCTCCCAGCTGGGGTGGGCCTCACCTTTGAAGAGAAAGTGGGAGTAGTACTTGAAGGTGTTGTAGGACTGCTGCATGAGTGCAAAGTTGGGGTGTTCTGCACCCCGCGGGCCCCCAGCAGGGACCCAGGCCTGGGAGATGAGCTGGCTGCGGAACTTGAGCACGAGGCTGAAGATACTGTGGATGATGTTCATGACGGGCGCCGCCTTCTCCGTGAGCAGGCCCCTGGGGGGAAGCAGTGCTGCTGGGTGGGCTCAGCTGCGACCACAGGGCAAGGGACGCAGCAGTGCCCAGGCCTCACCTAAAGACGGCCTTGTGCAGGTACTCCGCGTGCGCACGTTGGATCTCCTCCAGGTCGCCCACGGTGGCCAGCCTGGCCCTGAACTCGCACCAGGTGACGTGCAGGATCTGGTTGGCGATGTAGCCCTGGATGACCCTCACGAAGTGCTGCATCTCGTGCTTGAACAGCTGCAGCTGGCGGAACTGCACGGAGCTGGCCATGTGGCTCAGCAGGGCTGGCAGAGAGGAGAGGACAGAGGTGAGCACAGCCTCAAGCCCGGGGCACCGGGGTTCAGCGAGGCCTCACCTGTGCGCTTGAGGTGGAAGCAGATGTCCTTGAGTGCCCACATCATGAGCTTCAGCTGCAGCAGGAAGGAAAAGACGCCACTGTACTTGCTCAGGCAGCCCTCGGTGATGACGACGTTGAGGGGCCAGTCCACCTGCCAGGAGCCCCCGCTCAGCAGGTGTCCCATGGGCAGGCCCCTGCCCCATCCCCATGGCCAGGGCTGCTGCTCACCTTGTACCTGAGCTCCAGGCAGCTCAGCACATCTGGGGCATTGGGGGCAAAAACCTCGGGAAGGTACTTGAGGGCGAGGGAGAGGTTGGAGGCGTGTGGGGTGTCCCCATGCAGGCTGCACTGCAGGGCCTTGCTCAGCACGGAGTTCAGCACCAGCGGGTTGAGCAGCTCCCCAGGTGTCTGCCCGGCCCCAAGCTGGGCAAAAAAGGGACCGGTGTCCCCAGGAGCCCCAGGCACGTCCCTGGCCATGCACCGGCGCCTCACGGGGCTGTGCCAGAGCGGCAGGGAGGCTGAGGCCCTGCAGCTAGTCTCCCCCTCCCCATGGCCTCCCCTCTACCACCGGCCCCACCCCAGCTCCGTGTCCGGAGGTCACCTTCTCAAAGAGCAGGTCGCTGAGGGACTGGGCGAACTCGCCGTCCTCCATCAGCAGGAAGTGCCGCAGCGCCTCATAGTGTGCCTCCAGGTGCAGCTCCACGAAGAAGTAGTCAACGGCAGCCTTGTTCACCAAGGAGATACTGACAGGAGGGAGCTGGAGTCAGGGTGCCGCTGGGGCGGGCTGGGCAGGCAGGCTGGCTGGGGTGAGGGCACTCACTGGGCGGCCAGTGGCGCTGTGATGGAGCGCTTCATGAGCACGGGCAGCGTCAGCAACTCACTCAGCTGCACAGCGGTCTCGTCTGCGGCGGACTGGGCCTGGGGGTCGACGGGGAAGGCAAAGGCCCGGGGAAGCATGGGGCGCAGAAGGTGAGCGATGGGTGGCTCAGCTGTGGGAGATGGAGAGCGTGCTAGGAACCTGCCCGCCCAGGGCTCTGGCTCTGCCCCCGCCCGCAGCGACACTGCACTCACACATGGACTCGTAACTGTCCGGGTACTGCTCCAGGTGGTACTGCCCTGCCAGGCCTGCCAGGTAGGCCTGCTCCCCGTCCCAGGCCTCCGCCTTCTCCTCACCAGGTCCTCGGCTGCTCTGGGCAGCTGCGTCTTCCTAACAAAACACCAGCCTGAGAGCCACCTCCCCACATTATGCTGCCCCCACTCACCCACCTTGTGCCAAAAGGAAAATCGCATGTGGGACCTGCCCACATGATAACCTAGAGGCACAGAGCCCTCCCTGCGTGCTGTGTGACCCCCTAGGCTGCATCCACCTCACCTGTGAGTTCAGACGCCAATTTGGAGAGAGCTCCTCAGTGTCCCCATTCCTCCCAGGGCCTGTGTGGACACAAGTGGACATGGGAGTGTCTGGGCTGAGCGCCTGCGGAGCGGACGGAGCAGAGCTGGCCCTGGCTCAGGCAGCCCCTCCCCATGTCCCCCCAACAGCAGCTCAGGTCCTAACTGACAAACAAGGAGTCCTGAAGGGACCTTCACTCGCAGCCAGCCCCACCTCCCGCCTACCTCCCAGGCTCTGTGGGTCCCATAGTCCCACTCCTGGCCATCGGCCACCTGACTAACCTGGTTCTTCAGAGACACTGTCTCCTGGTGTGTTGGACCAGCATGGCTGGGTGGGAGCCACATCTAACGCGTTCTCTCCCACGCTGATGGTGTCGTCAGACACGTGTCCCTCGATGTTCCACTGTGGCCGGGAGGGAGCCACATCCGGCACGTTCTCCCCCACGCTGATGGTGTCGTCGGACACGTGTCCCTCGATGTTCCACTGTGGCCGGGAGGGAGCCACGTCCGACACGTTCTCTCCCACGCTGATGGTGTTGTCGGACACGTGTCCCTTGATGTTCCACTGTGGTAGAGTGGGAGCCACGTCCGACACATTCTCTCCCATGCTGACGCGCTCCTCCCCACAGCCTAAGCTGGGGGAGGAGAGAGATGGCCCCACTTCTACAGGCAGCTGTGGCCCACAATCCAGAGCAGCGTTCCGTGCTCCCAGGCTGAGCGCTGACTGGGACGTGTGGCCAAGGAGGCTCTGTTGGGGCCTGGGTGTGTTGGACTCAGTTTCTGGTGAGAGGGCCCCCAACATCACGTGGGGCGGAGGGATGGGTCCATGGGCGTTCCACCGTGGCCGAGTGGGAGGTACGTCCGACACACAAACCCCCAAGCTGATGCTGGCATCCGACACGTGCCCATGGGTGTTCCACCGTGGCCGGGTAGGAGCCACGTCTGACACATTCTCCCCAACTCTGATGCTGGCATCAGACACATGTCCATGGATGTTCAAACGTGGCCGGGTGGGAGCCACGTCTGACACGTTCTCCCCAACCCTGATGCTGGCATTAGACACGTGCCCATGGATATTCCACCGTGGCCGGGTGGGAGCCACGTCAGACACGTTTTCCCCAACCCTGATGCTGGCATCAGACACGTGCCCATGGATGTTCCACCGTGGCCGGGTGGGAGCCACATCTGACGTTTCCTCCCTGACCCTGATGCTGGCATCGGACATGTGCCCATGGGTGTTCCACCGTGGCTGAGTGGGAGCTATTCCAGAATTGTAGCCCCCTGTGGGAACACCGCCCCCTGACACATGCCCAAAAAGCTGCTCTGTGTGCTGACTGCTCCCCTCCTCCAGGGCGGCACACCTGGGTGGGTGTGAGGGAGGCAGAAAGCTGCACTCTGCAGCCTGGAGGGGCCCTGGTGAAGGTGAGGCGGCCACAGCCGGCCTCAGGACAGTACTAAAGTCGTACTCCTGTGGCTTGGAGGGCTGAGTGCTGGCCGCTGAAGGTGCCTCCCCAGGAGCTGAAGCGGGCAGGTCTGAGCTGATGGTCTGCAGCGCTGCCTCCAGGAGAGGGACCGTGCCAGTCTGCAAAGACTGCTCAGCCCCTGGGCCCACAGGTAGGAAGTCTCCAAGGCTGAGGCCGTCAGAGAAGGACCCAGGCTCCTCTGCCTGCTGCAGCCCTGGGCCACCAGCTCCCACTGCTAGAGGCTTAAGGGGCTGTGGGGTCCGCAGGTCTGGCCTGTTCGGGCAATCCCAGGAAGCCGAATGTTGCTCTGCAGTCCTAGAATCACAGCCTTGGCCTCCATCTGGGTGCTCAGGGCCAGATGTGACCTGAAACACACATGACATCAGACCCAGTCTGGTCTCAGGCTCCCTGAGCCCTCAAACTCTGTCCCCCAAGTTCAGCTCTGCAGCCATGACCGACACTCACCAGGTGCCAAGGGCTATGGCAAACAGCCAGGCCCAGCACCCCCAGCTCAGAGTTAGGGCACCCTGGGTTCTGCTCTGCCACTCACCTGGGAGTGTGGGCTCAAGAGAAAGTCTGCCGGCTCCTGGGGCTGGTGAGCCTCAGTCATCGCTTTCAGCATCTCCTGAAATTTAAGCCAGAGAGATGACCAGCAGAGCTGGAGAAAAGCACGGCCCCTACGCCCACAGCAGCCATGTACACTGAACCAGACAAGGCTTGTGCTGGGCTCCACTGGGACCCCAGCACTCCAAAACCACGAGCTCCTCACCACCTCTATCTGCAATTCAGTGGCACTGCTACAAACATGAGAACCACCAGCCCACTCCCATAAGAGCACGCAGGTCTGTGTGCAGTTCCAGGGGGTTACCAGACCCCCAAAGCCCAGGGGAAGAGCTGCCACCTAAAGCTGCTGAGATACCCGAATGCGTTTCTCATCTTCCAAGAGAAAGCGAAGCCGTGCACTCTCCAGTCGGTGCCTCTGGATTCTCCACAGCGCCTTCTGCTCCCGACGAGCTGCCTCTGCAGACAGCCTGCTGTAGTGGTCGACCAGCGCCTGCCTGAAGCCACACCCAGAGAGGACACAGCCACAAGAGTCACCCCGTCCCATCCACCTGGCGCCCCTCGGGGGAGAATGGTTCTGCACAACAGAGGCCCCAGTGGGCCCCTGCCTCTAATCTCCCCCTGCCAGGGCCGGATAGCTCTGGGCCCTCACAGCACCTGCAGGGCGGCACCAGGCAGGCCCTTCCACCTGCCAGGCTGGGAAACCTTGGCAAGTCGGTGCCCAGCCAGGGCTCAGCAAGGTCTGTTGGATGAAAACCAGAATAAGATCCTGCATGGCCTGAAGCAAGGGGTGAGCAGGATGCTGAGGGCCCCAGGCCCCTAAGAAGCAAGGCCTCTTCTCCTACAGGTGCAGACCTGAGAATTGAAAACTAATGCAAAAAAGTACATGAAGCAAAACCAACACAAACGCTTTATTAGCTGAATTCAAAGCCGGCCTCACCTATCATGCCCCCTGATTTTGAGCTTTTCTCCAGCAGGCAATTTGTGCTGGGCTCCACTGGGACCCCGGCTCAAACCTGAACTGGCCAGCTCTAATTTGCCCACCACAGGCCAGAGACATGGTGTCCAGGCCTGGTTTTCTCCATGTGTTAATGGGACAGCATCTACTCACATACATGCGCAAACACGTACGCATGCAAAAACGCATACGAACATGTGCACACAGGCACACGCACCCCTCCACGAATGTCCCTCGCTGGCTCCATAAACGGATCTAAGGTTGAGACAACTGAGCATCGTGTGGGGCTGAGCGGGAAGCAGCCAGACCCTCCTGAGAGGGTCTTTCTCTAAAACCCCAAACAGCCCCTTGAAGGCTCCAGCTCTACTCAAGACTAGCAACAGGCTGATGACAACACGGGAGACAGACTCAAATGCTGTGCTGGACAAACACCATCTCGGCCGGGCACGTAATCCCAACACTTTGGGAGGCTGAGGCAGGCACATCACCTGAGGTCAGGAGTTTGAGACCAGCCTGGCCAACATGGAGAAACCCCATCTCTACTAAAATTAGAAAAATTAGCTGGGCGTGGTGGCGGGCACCTGTAATCCCAGCTACTCGGGAGGCTGAGGCAGGAGAATCACTTGAACCTGGGAGGTGGAGGTTGCAGTGAGCTGAGATTCCACGCAACATTGCACTTCGGCCTGGGCGACAGAAGAAGACTCTGTCTCAAAAAAAATAGTAAACAAAAAAAAAAACCACCCTCTGTCAGACCAATAACAGACTTAAAAATAAATAAGGAACCTATTTATTTATTTAATTCAATTTATTTATTTATTTATTTTTTAAAGATGGGGTTTCAACATGATGGATGGCCAGGCTGGTCTTGAGCTCCTGACCTCACGTGATCCACCCACCTCAGCCTCCCAAAAGTGCTAGGATTACAGGCGTGAGCCACCGCGCCCGGCTGGGACCTATTTAGAAAGAAGATAGATAAAGAGACAGGACCCCAAACAGCACACAGGCCTTGCTCAGACCCTCATCCATACAAACCACCCACAAGACAACACTCAGGACGGGTACGGACGCCTGCATATGGCAGAATGGCTGCAGCCACTCTGGGTTCAGCACATTGGTCTTTCTACCTTAATGTATGCCTGCAGGTTTTCAAAACACAAAGTAAATCATCAGTGTGATTAAAGCAGAGCTCCGGGGCCCCTGCCGCACCTGCACCCCTGGGCCTGGGGCCCCTGCTGCCCTACCTTGCCTTCCTCTCCAGCTCCTCCTCCAGGGACTTCAGCCTCCTCTCCCTGTCTCGGAGCTCACGGGCGTAGCTGAAGTCGTCATCCAGCTCCTCCTGCCTGGCCGCCTGGCGTCGCTGTAAAACACACAGGCTGGGCTGTGAAATCAGGACTTAGGCCTGACCCAGCACAGGCAGGTCCCTCCCACCCACCTCCTGGTCCTTCACAAACTGTTCCTTCAGCCTCTGAAACTGCTCGCGCTTCCGGGCGTCCAAGGCCATCCGCTCTGACATCTGCCGGTCTGCATTGGGAAAGTAAGGGGCACACTGTCACAAAGAGGCCCCAGCAAGGCACCCCCAAAAGTGCAGAAGGGAGGACTTGAGGCCACTCACCACTCAGTGCACTCAGGACCCTGGAGGCTGCTTCCCGGGCATGAGCAATTAATTCCTGCTTTGCAATTTCCATACGTAATTCCTAAACAAGACAATGGTAAACAAAGTACACTGGCCAGGCGCAGCAGGTAATCCCAGCACTTTGGGAGGCTGAAGTGGGTGGATCACATGAGCTCAGGAGTTCCAGGCCAGTCTGGACAACATGGCAAAACCCCATCTCTACAAAGATACAAAAATTAGCCAGGTGTGGTGGCGGACGCCTATAGTATCAACTACTTGGGGGCTGGGCTGAGGCAGGAGGATCCCTTGAGCCTGGGAGGTGGAGGCTGCAGGGAGCCACGTTGGTGCCACTGTACTCCAGCCTCCTGGCCGACACAGTGGGACCCTGTCACAAAGGAAAAAAAAGCAACCTAGTCCTCTGACCTCTCACCTAGGACACGTGTGGGATCAGGGCCGGCAGGCAAGACACACAGCCCGAGGGTGAGAGGAGGCGCCAAGTGACGGCGGGACACCCTCCCCACCCCGGCTCTCAGCAGTGCCAAGGCTGGCTCCAGGCCACGGACTGGAGCTGACCAGCTCCCACAGAGACATCTGGGAGTTGAGGACCCCAGGCTGTGTGTCCACCCTGGAGGGAAACCAAGGGGCCTCAGAGAGGAGAGGGAGCTTCCCTGCTTAGCCTCTTGGGCCTGCCCCTGCCCAGGCCAGAAAGCCTGTTCCTGGGAATGGTGCCAAATGTACCACTGAGCCCCTCCCTGAGGACGCAGGAGAGGCGTGGCCCGTTTCTGACACGTCATCCCTTCCCAGTAGGAGGGGAGCTTGCAAAGGCCACCTGAGTGTAGAATCACACACCCTGCCGCCCTGGAGCACAGTCGGACTATCTGTTCACAGCCAGCAGGCCCAAGGGAAGCCCCAGTGAAGCTTCCCGAGCCAACAAAGCCTGGGCTTCAGGCTAAGCCACCCAGACCCAGGAGGAGAGGACAGAGCCCCTCCCTGGCATCTGGCTCCAGGACATTCATCTCAACTCCCCCTTGGCACCCACCCACCCACACCACCAGGACAGAAAATGCCAGAAGGAATCCCACGCATCTTGCATGGCCTCACATCCTCCCTACCAGCCTGAGACCCCAGGAAGCAGAGGCAGGCACAAAGAAAGCCCCCAAGACCTGTGGTGCCACACACCTTCTCCTCCTTGCTGACGGAGCTGTGGCGGGCCACTCTCTCCATGCGCCCAACATAGACAGCACAGTCCTTCTCAATCTCCTTCAGCTCCTCCAGGGAGAAAATCACTGAGATCCGGGGGACGGGGACGTCGGACCAACAGAGGTAATGCTGCCAAAGGGGATGCAGGCACAGCCACTGGCACTCAGCCCTGGCCTCAGACGCAGCCCCAGCCCCTCCCGTCCACACGCAGGAGCCCCTCCTCACCCGGGGACAGCAGAGCTTCAGCAGGTTGATGGTCTTCCCGCAGACGTACACGTCATGGGCAATGTGCTTCAGAAACACGGGAACACAGTCCTCCACCTCTTTGGAGATGAGCACGTAGCCATGGGTCCAGTATGACTTATCTACGGTGGGGGGAACACCAGCGTGGCTGGCATGGCTGTGGCCCTGAACCCAGGCCCACAGGCACGGAGCCCCGCCCCGCAGCCAGCTGCCACCTACCTCGGAAACTGAGGTACTCCTGGTTCACCTGAATCATGAACTCACCATAAGTGTCTCTGAACACCCCGCTGTACACCCAGTCGTGGATGAAGCTGCAGTGGGAGAGCAGCAGGGGTGGGTGTGGTCAGTGGAGAGGTGGGTGGGGCCAGCAGTGAGGAGCAGGGGCACGGCTGTCCACGGAGGCAGGGGTGGGGCATGCTATCCATGAGGATTTGGGGTAGGGGTGGGGGGTTCCTGCCCAGTCCCCTTCCTGTGTGAGCCCCACATTCAACAGGTTTCTGACAAGGGGCTGCTCTCAGATGTCTGCCTGGTGGGAATGTGTGCCAGCCCAGCCCCACCAGCCGCTGCCCACCGCGTGTAGGGCTCGCAGCTGGTCTTCAGCAGGGACAGCAGCACGGGGTAGTGTTCATTGCTGCAGTTGTGCAGCGCCTCCTGGTAGAGGTAGGACAGCAGCTTCACGCCCTGCAGATAGCAAGGGGGGACAGCTCAGTGAGGTGCACCCCTGCCGGCAGCAGCCCCCCAAGGACACACTCAGCACCCCCTTTCCTGGAGCCCACCAGGCCGGCACGCTCAACAGGGACGCAGGACTCACGGTGGGAAACTCGGCCCTGGGCCCTCCTCCGCAGGTGCCTGGGAGTGCAGCACCAACACCACAGAGCTCGGCCAGATACCTAGACCCAGAGACAGGATCAGACCAGGCGACTGGGCTCAGGGTCCCCAGGCCTAGATCAGACTGTGAGCAAAATCTCCACAAATCTTCATGCTCCCTGGAGCAACTGACTTTAGATGTTTGCCTTAAAAACCAGATGCACCCCAATGGCCCTGCAGTACTCATGCCCAGCCCTGTGCCCCTGTGCTGTCCACACAGACCCCACTGAAGCACCCACACCAAACAGGCACCTCCCTCCCAGGCACTGGCCAACACCCGAATCACCCTGACCCTCCCACTTCCTCACCCCACATGGGGGCTGCACCTGAGAGCCCCTCTCATCCACACAGTGGCACCAAGCATCTGCCACAACCCACACCCTTCACAGCCCACTCCCACCCCCACCCCCACCCCCACAGTGTCTGGCGCTGTCTCAGCCCTTGGGTCTCCTCTGGGCTGCCACACTCTGCTCCTCTGCTTAGAAGGTCATCCCTCCAGCTCCCACCCCCAATCCTCACTCTTCCTTCTCTGGCGGCACTTGCCAGTGGCCCCCCAGCCTGGTTCCTCACTAACCAGCTTCCTCACTAACTGTGCCAGATGCCACACCCCCAGGGACCCTGTGTACTGATTAGGCAGGAGCCACCAGGCCTGGAGGGCCTGGATGGACCAGCTGTCGTGGGCCCATGGCAGACACACCTGCTCGGCACCTGGCACCTGAATTTAGCCAGGCAAGGGCTGTCCAGTCGCCTGCTGAGGGCTCTTCTCACAGGCTCTCCTTGCCAGGGAGCAGGGCAAACCCCCCCGCTGCCCAGCAAGCCCCACACCTCACCCACAAAGTCCCCTGCTCAGCCGCCATGCTGAGGCTCACCTGAGCTGCCGGCCCAGCTTCTTGAAGAGAAAACCAATGGTGAGGAGGCTCAGGGTGGGCGGAGTGGCGAGGACGCAGGCCCGGTAATACTGCAGGTATCTCCTCAGGCCACTGGTGAAGGCCTGTAGGCAAGAGGGCTGGGAGGAGGGCAGCCAGGAACGTGGACACAGCCTGTGCCCAGGGCCTGAGGGTACCAGTGCTGGGCACAGCACTTTGCTCCCCACCTCAGCTCTGGGCTTCATTTCCGAGCAATGGGACTCTGCGAGCCACGTCCAGCCACCAGGCCAGGTAGACATTTGGACCTCCACAAGCCATGGCCCACCACCAATCCCTCCTCTCATCTGAGACCAGCTGCCCAGGGACGTGGCCTCTGGGATTTGGGGGTGAGGGTGGAAAGGGCGGCTGCGCTCTATGCACAGACACCAGTGCTGTGAGGGCTTCGGCTGCTCAGACCACAGTGGTCTCGGTGGCACCAGCATCCTGGGTAACGCCACGGCAGCAGGCTCTGAAGTTCATGCCAATCCTGGACCAATCTCAGTCCACCCACCCCAGGAGCCACGTGGCCTGGCCACGCCTGCCACACAAGTGAGAACCACAGTCCGACCCTTCTCAGTGTCCACTGCTCCGACCCCTCCTCCACCACCTCCAGCCCTCAAGAACCCCAGGGCTGCTCGTCTGCCCAGAAGCTGTCCCCACCCCATGCAGCTCCCACCACGCCGACCTCCCGAGCCCGTCTAAAACCTGACCACACTGCATCACCCCATCCTCAGCCCCCGCTGTGGCACTAACAGTCGAAGGCGCCAGCGCTGCACGGCTCCTCCTGAGGGCTCTCTGCCCAGCTTCCCCAATACCCTCCTCTCCACTCCCGCGACGTCCCGTCATCTGCCTGCCTGTCCTCTCCCATTCAAGGTGCATCCCCGTCCCCTGGGCCTCTACCCAGCACATGAGCCAGCTTCAAGACTCACAAACAGCAGCTTCCAGAGCCAGACTTGGCTCAGAACACCTAGCAGCGTAAATTCACCCAACGCGAGAGTCCTGCCCTGTCACTCATCCACAATGCGGATGACTGCTCCCACCAAAGTACAGGCAGCAAGAGCCCCATTCACTGCCTTGCCTGCCCTGCACACCCTGAATGCTGGCCAGGCTGGCCTCCCACCAACCCAGGGCCCACACACATCTGCCCCAGGTTTCCAGTGAGGGAAAATGTCATCACTGACCCGTCCCTGAAGAGTCACTGTCGGGTTTCAGATGTTAGCAAGGAAATAAGTTTTAGACTGTGGTCCCACAGAAGGACCTCTAAGATTCTCTTTTCCAGAACGTGTGCACCGTTATCTCAAAGGTTCGTGACAACCGTGAGGCAGAGACGATACCTGGAACACAAGGCCCTTGCTGTACGAGGAGTCCAGGACGGGCTGCAGGGAGAAGTGGGTCAGGCGCATGTAGCAGGTCCCATACTCGGCCACCTCCGAGAGAAGGTTGCTGATGCTCTCGGGAGACGCTCCTGATACATGAACGCCCTGCTTCACCACAAAGGCCTGGGCCAGCTGCACAGGGACAGAGGACACAGGTCGCAGAGGCCAGGCACCCAGATGTCCAGTAAGGTGCCACCTCCCTCCACCGCTGCACCCAACCCCACACCACCTAGAGTGCCCACAGGACCCAAAAGCAAATGCTTAAAAGGCATACCCAGAACTCCTGCACCAAGGAATAAAAACATACAAACCAAAACAAGGTAGAAATTTTCACTGACCATACTGAAAAATACATGTTTAAAATGCTAAGCATAGAAAAAAAGAGAGCACCTTCACAGGACACAAGTACTCAGACAGCCTCCTGGGCAGAAGATATAACACACGTTTGCCATGAGATCTGCTCATTCGACTCTCAGGGATGAATTAAAGGAAATCATGGAAGACGTACACACAGACTCATCAGAGCACATTCTCCACAGCATGTTTATAACCAGAGAGTGGAAACCCCCAACAGAGGGCTCACCACAACCAAAACATATGGGATGCAGCAAACGCTCCTCCAGGAGGAAAAGTTACCACTGCAAACACCTGCATTACTAACGAACAAGATACCAAACCCACAGCAGCCCTGTGCATACTCTGAAGAGATTTTAAAAAGAGATTAGGCCAAGTGCAGTGGCTCTCGGCTATAATCCCAGCACTTTGGGAGGCTGAGGCAGGAGAATACTTGAGCCCAGGAGCCTGAGACAAGCCTGGGCAACACAGCGAGACCCTCATCCCTATAAAAACTACAAATTAGCCAGGCATGGTGGCTCACGCCTATAATCCCTTGGGGAGCCAAGGCAGACAGATCACTTCAGGTCAGGAGTCCATAGCCAACCTGGCCAACATGGCAAAGCCCCATCTCTACTAAAAATACAAAAATTAACCAGGCGAGGTGGTGTGTGCCTGTAGTCCCAGCTACTCTAGAAGCTGAGGTATGAGAAACACTTGAACACGAGAGGCGGGGTTGCAGTGAGCTGAGACTGTGCCTTCCCACTCCAGCCTGGGCTACAGAGGGAGACTCCATCTCAAAAAAAGAAAATTTTTTTAATTAAAAAATTAGCCAGCCATGATGGTGCATGCCTGTTGCTCTCAGCTACTCAGGAGGCTGAGGCAGGAGGATCAATTTGAGCCTAGGAGGTCGAGGTTGCAGTGAGTCATGTTCAAACCACTGCACTCGAGCCTGGGTGATCTTGCCTCCAAAAAAAAAAAAAAAAGAGCAGTTAGGCCAGGCATGATGACTCACACCTGTAATCCCAGCACTATGGGAGGCCAAGGCAAGTGAATCACTTGAGATCGGGAGTTGGAGACCAGCCTGACCAACATGGTGAAACCCCATCTCTCCTATAAACAAAAATTAGCCATGCATGGCGGCGTGCGCCTGTAATCCTAACTACTCAGGAGGCTGAGGCAGGAGAATCACGTGAACCTAGGAGGCAGAGGCTGCAGTGAGCTGAGATCACACCATTGCACTCCAGCCTGGGTGACAGAAAAGAAAAGGACTCCACCTAAAAAAAAAAAAAAAAAAAAAAAAAAAAAGGCAGTCAGGCCAGATGCAGTGGCTCACACCTGTAATCCCAGCACATTGGGAGGCTGAGGCAGGCGGATCACGAGGTCAGGAGTTCAAGACCAGCCTGACCAACATGATGAAACCCCATCTCATACAAAAAATTGGCCAGGCTTGTTCGTACATGCCTGTAATCCCTGCTACTCAGGAGGCTGAGGCAGGAGAATCACTTGAACCTGGGAGGCGGAAGTTGTGGTGAGCCAAGATCGCACCACTGCACTCCAGCCTGGGCAACAAGAGCAAAACTCTGCCGCAAAAAAAAAAAAAAAAGTTAAACTCAAAACTAGCAGAAGGAAACAAGTAACAATTACAGCAGAGAGAAAGCAGGCAAAACATGGTGGCTCACGCCTGTAACACAAACACTTTGGGAGGTCAAAGTGGGTGAATCCCTTGAGGTCAGGATTTTGAGACCACCTGGCCAAAAACCCCATCTCTACTAAAAATACAAAAAATTAGTCTAGTGGTGCACACCTGTAGCCCCAGCTACTTGGGAGGCTGAGGCAGGAGAATCACTTGAACCCAGGAGGCGGAGACTGCAGTGAGCTGAGATCACACCACTGCACTCCAGCCTGGGCAAAAGAGTAAGATTGCATCTCAAAAAAAAAAAAAAAAAAAAATAGAGAACCAAAAAAAAAAGTTGGTTCTTTGAAAATATCAACAAAATTGGAAAGTCTTAGCTAGAATAATTAGGAGGAAAAATGACTATTAAATAAAGAGAAGCCGGGCGCGGTGGCTCACGCCTATAATCCCAGCACTTTGGGAGGCCAAGGCGGGTAGATCACAAGATCAAGAGGTTGAGACCATCCTGGTCAACATGGTGAAACCCTATCTCTACTACTAAAAATACAAAAAAAAAAAA